ACGGCCTTCTGGACTCTCCCCGGCGCTAGGGTTAAGGGCCCAGGACCGACCGCAGAACACTCCCATGATAAGAATAAAAGAGGACAAATGACAATTATGATACCTTCACAGGGAGAATGAAGACCTAAAGATGGCAGTGAAAGAACAACGACTTGCCCGGATGAACGATCGACAGAACGAACCAAAGATGAGGACGTGAAACAGCAGTAGACAAGAGAGAGCATAATACGACTGTACACCATAGAAGATATGGAATCGAGCTAGCGCAACACAATGGACATAGCTGAATGAGAATTGCGGGTAAGTTCCAGAGTTTACGAGTAATAGTTTATTCAAGCGACTTCAATAACCTGATGGAGGACACGAAGAGAGTGACCATAAAGAGCAGCATATACAAGATAGGCAAAAAGATTTTAGCAAATAGCACTGCACAAAGGATCAGCTGCATGAAAGGCACAGAGTCGAAATGTGCATAACGATTGAGATCTTAGACACCTCTGAGAATAATCCCGACTGTCAGTTTAGATCAGATGTGAGAATGTGACCAGCTGAGTAACTCATTAGAATAGCGGAGGACGTGGTTGATTGATATGGTGAAAGACAGTGAGAACTAGGTAGTATGACGAGCCGAACACAAATCAGCTGAGTCTTTTCAGCAGTAAACTTGAGACATGAGTAGACGCATACGAGACATATGTTTAGCACGAGTGTTCTAAGTGCCGATGCACAAGAGGCCAGCAACACACAATGGTCATCAGCCATAACACACACGGAACCAGCAAACAAGTTGCCCCATGAATGACAACCAACACCAGAAACAGCCAATTTCTGAAGCAAACTACACAGAAAATGAAAGGCACTGAAGTGCAAACCCTCGGCGCAGTTATAATAGTGAACACACGCGCCCAATTATGTAAAGTAATGGGTTGGTGGACAATGGGTATCACAAGGTCTGGTGAATTGTTTGTTTGTACTTACTGGTGATGTATTAGGGTTATTTTATTTCCTACCAAGTATAATCTAGTGAGCTAAAAGTTCAAACGCCTTGTTTAATGTATTGTCAGTCCCCAAAAGACGAAAAAAAAAAACGGAAAACACCGCACAAAAAAAAACCAAACAAAAAAAAAAGGAAGTAACAAAATGGAAAACAAAAAACAAAACACCCAGTAAAAAGAACACAAAATAAGGGGGCGAAATAAACCCCACCCCACAACAAGCAAAAAAAAAAAACAAAAAAAAAAAAATAAGAAAACAGGAAGGAAAACCAAAAAAAAATGCAAGAAAATACAAAAGTGACAAGGCCGCAAAAAAAAAAAAAACCCCAGGCAAATACAAAAGCAAAGGGGGAAAGACAGCACACAGCAAAGAGAAAAGCAAAGCGAACAAAAGACAAACAGAAAATGCGAAAACCCAAAAACAAGCAAAGCAAAAAAGGGCTAGGGGCAAAATGGATAAACCCACCGAAAAACAGGAAGAAAATAGGCGCACACACACTGAAGAAAAAATGCAAAACACTAAGTAACCCAAACAAAAAAACACAACACCCCAGGATATAAAAACAAACAATACCAAAAATGAAAAACGGGAAACAGAAACAAAAAACAAAAGACCCAAGAAAAACAAACAAACAACAAAACATGAAAAACAGAAAAACAAAAACTAAACAAAGACGAAAAACAAAAAAGAATAAAAAGAAAAAGAAAAGAAAAGGGGTGCGAAATAGAAAACAATAAAAACTAAAAAAGGAGAAAAAAAAAGTTAAAAAAAGGAAAAAGTTTCAAAAAAGTGAAAGTCAAAATAAAAATGAAAATTCAAAACCAAAACAATTGTTCAAAAATGCAAAGTTTCCAAAAACCTAAATAAAATCTTGCAAAAATATTTCCCCAAAACTCAAATTTTCAATTTTCAAAATAACAAATTTAAAAAACAAAAAGCTAAAAAAAATTTTCAAAACAATAACAAAAACAAAACATCAACGGGCGCCGCTTGGCCGCCATGACGCATGGAAAACAGTCGCGTTGCGTCCCGTGGTGTATACACATACGCGTTGTTAAAAATGGCCGCCCTTGCCGTACCGTACGAATAGGAAAACGCTCTAGCTCTGCAACGAAGCAGCAAATATTCTGACCTCCGTCGGCCGCTGGGTATGTAAACCCGTTTTGGACGCGATCTATGACAGTTCTCACTTAACTGACAGAATGACGCACTGAAGTGCAAACCCTCGGCGCATTGTGACGCGCACGCGTGAGTAAACGCATGCGCTGTATCACTAATCGATGGGCTGGGTTTAGTTTTAGCTGTTACTCGCGCAGAGTCTGACGCGGGCTAACTACACTACTAGATAGCATGCGAGAGGCGATACACGCCCTGCGTTGCATCTTCTGGTGCCTCCGAGGTACGCAGAGCACGCGGATCGATCAGACCGCGGTAAGCCTTCCCGCCCGTTGCGTATTTGCATATTGGCTTTTTCGCGCTCTAGGAGCATTTTCAGAGAAAACCCCACATATTTTCTGACCTTCGTCGCCCGTTGGGTTGATGGTATCGTTTCTGGGACGAACAGACATTCGAGAGGTGAGATGTAGAGTAACAGACAGACACACAGACACACGGACAGACCCAAGTACTGTAACCCTCGCATGCGCGCCGAGGGTTAATTAAAGTGCAAACCCTCGGCGAACTGCGCCTGCGCGGTACCGCAAACTGATGGGCTGGGCAATTTGTATGCCGTTTACTCGTGGTCTCCCGCTATATAGTAGCTCGCGGAGAGTCGGACACTGGCTAGCTACAGTAGTAGATAAGTCGATACACGCCCTTCGTTGTGACTTCATGTGCCTTCAAGAGTCCTGTGCTAATTACCATATTGGCTTGTTCACTTGGTTTTCACGCCATAACTTTAGAACACAGAAAAGCGAAAATCAAGCCAGTGTAGCACTGAACCCGATCATATCGCTATTTACCTGATTTCGTGCGCGCGGTGGCAGAAAGACTGACAGACTGACACACTTACGGAACAACTACCGTAACCCTCGCTGCGCATGCGCGCCGAGGGTTAACGAGAGAGAATGACTGTTCCCAACGCACTTTCATCCTTTGGTTACTGTACCAGAAAGACAGAAAACGAACAACTGGGAGAGGTAAACCACGATCAATGAGTTTTTCAAACAAGAGACTATGATCTACGAGGTCAAAAGCCTTGCTTGCATCAAGAAAACAACCATAAACTGAAGAACCATTATGAATGTAACGTGAAACAACATTCTTGACAACACCAGAACACAAAGTGGTGGAAAAACCAGGTTTAAAACCAAACTGCAGTGGACTAGAATAAAGATAGGCAGAATACTTAGTCATGATGAGATGCTCCAATATTTTACTTAAGCAAGAAGACAAGGCTATAGGACGATAGTTAACACTGCAGGTGGCATCCTTATTCTTCTTGGGTACAGGAACAAGAACAGAGTCACGCAGACACTGAGGCATAAAACCGTGACGAACAAGTGAGCTGAAGAAGATGGCAAGAGGTGCCATAACAGCTGATGACGCATAAATCAAGTGCTCGGAAAATATCCCATCCCCGTCTGATTTGCCGCTATTAAGATGAGAGAGAGCATCCAAGACATCATCCTCAGAGAATTCCACATCACATATATGAGAGGCAGATTGGATGGAAGACTGAAGAGAGATGTGAGGTGATGAAGAGTGTATTGAGAATGTCCTCAAGCTTTGAAGCAAACACATTAGCAATATTGCTACCACCAGCTACTCCATCAACAACAGGGGCAAATGAAGATGAAGAACTCTTTAGTTTTCTTACATCAGACCAAAATGAGGACTTTTTATTCTTAGCAAAAGAGTAAGCAAGCTTCTTTTGGAGCAAAGAATTTTGCCTGCGTATAAGACGACGAACCTCATACTTATACCTCTCGATAAGACACCAGATAACGGACAGCCAGACTCCTCCCAGATCTTGTACCAGAACATCGCTGATTCTATTGACTGACTGAGTCCAACCAACAAGTCTTCTATATACGAGCGAGAGCACACGTGAGCAAGGTGGAGATGAGATGAGAGCCCTAGGTATCCAATAGGCAGTACAGGAGGGCAATGAGCATTCCAAGACTTCAGATGGTAAGGTGGGGATAAGCACAGAGACTGAGCAATACAAGAAGGTGTGATTCTCCACCAATTGACACGCCGCAACAAATTAGAGGGGTTGGTTGTCGCGTGTGCTGTAAGTCCGTTACTCCACATCTCACTCCGCGAGCCATCAACCGCTCCACAAACAATACCACGCATTTAGCGTTGGGTATAGGCCGAAACGTATGTAGGGCTTTCTCTGAAACTGCTGCGCTAGGGAGGTTTACGGCGAGCGAAAAAGCCAACAGAACAGCTCTGCGTATCTTGAAGGCACAAGAACCGAGTAACAACGAGGGACGTGTATCGACTCCCACATGCTATCTACTACTGTAGCTAGTCCGTGACAAACTCTCCGCGAGGGAGACCACAGTAAACGCGACTCTACTAAAAGCCCAGCCCATTAATCGAGTAACAACGATTAGTGGTATCGCGCATGCGCTGCGAGGGTTACAGTTGGTCTGTGTGTGTGTGTGTGTCATATCCCAATGAACAAAATTGTAATCCGTAAAAGTGTAATCTTAATTGGAAGCATAAAAAAAACAGATCTCACAAGGATGGAGGAAGAAGAGGTATATAGCATGAGGGAAAAAACAGAAACGATCATACAGCATGTTACTGTATTTGTGCAATGCTATGGACAATCCCAGTGTGTGACATGTTGCTGAGGTTCCATACTTTACGCAATACTTTATTCAGAGCAACCTCAATGAGTCTAATGGAAGGTGAAGAGAGTGACCAGAGGGTGATACCATACAATATTAAAACACGACAAAGGGGTCGGCAGCAGAAAATTTACATAAAACGAAGTTACCTTTGCGGTTGATATCTTTAATGACTCTGATGATGTCTTCTCTGTCGTCCAGGTTGTACGTGAGTATGTGTCCCAAGTGCAAAACTCTATCAAGATTCTGCAACTTAGTGTTGTTACAAGGAAGTAGCATATTTGAATTCCGTGCACGAAAACAGAGTTTTGTCGGCATTGAATAGTAGCCCATGAAAAGTTGCACAGATACTCAGCACAGAGCGAGCCCAGCCCAGCACAGCCCTAACCCTCGGCGCGCATGCGCAGCGAGGGTTAGAGTAGTTGGTTTGTCTGTCTATCTGTCTGTCTGTCCGTCTGTGTGTCGACGCTTATTCTGGCACTACAGGCTACGAGGCGGCCTATTAGCGATACCAGCGGCTTCAGAAATACGCGAGCCTGAAAACTGTAGTAGCTTGTAGGCACAAGAAATAACAACGAAGGCCGTGTGTCGACTCCCGCATGCTATCTAATAGTGTAGCTAGCCCGTGTCAGACTCTCCGGGGGCTACTAGCAAGAGACCAAGAGTAAACGCATACTCATACCCTAGCCCAGTCCATCAATTCAAAGTTCAAGAAAAGTTCATGAGCTCCAGAGGAGATATAAAGACATACACGGGAATAAGACGAAAAGGAAAATATATACACACACACGCATTTAGGGGGGAGGTAGCTATGGATGAAGGCAGCAATCTTCTCCCTTAATACAAATGATAGATGGGGAGGTAGATACAAGGATGTCAGTTATTTCCTCCACAGATCCCAAATGAAGTTCTTGGTGGGTCTGTACCAGATGTTCCAGGTAGGTTCGATCTTGTTCGATTGATAGATTACAGTGTGGACAGTCTGTCGCCGAATAATGGCCGAGAGAGAGCTTTGAAAAAGGACAAAGCGGCCTTTGCCCCATGATCTAGAGCCCATGTCCCATATCTTGAGCCATGACAGCTCAGGAACAGCGGCGATGTGTTTAAGGGACTGATGGCTGCGAAAATCCCTTAGTCGGAACTCTTTGTCGGCGGTGAGGACTCTCTTCTGCAAATCCCTTTGGGAGACTGTTGTGGTAAGAACTTCTCCTGTGAAGTTGGTGCGATACACCCCTTCCAGGTATCGACATTGCTCGACAATTGTCAGTTTTGAGACATCTCACCCTGCGAAAAATTTGAATGTCAGTGAGCTTAGCTTATCTTCATCCGCCGTGACAACCCTCTTCAGATAGTTCAACTTTCTGATGAGCACTCTAGCTCTCCAATCAAGTCCAATTAATACACTTGTGTTTGAGTGAAAACGGGACAGTCTAAGAATCCCCTTGCCAAGGGTACACTGAAAGTTCTCCAACTTTTCAAGGGAAGTGTCAGTCAAATACCAGCTCTCTGGACCAAACAGTAGCACAGGCATCACACATGTGTCCACAACGGATCGAGACGAAAGAGGGTTCAGTTCCCTTTGAAATACTCCTATGCAACCAAATGAGAAGAATGCCTTTTGGGCCTTGGAGATGTTTTCCGTGACGGATTTCATTGGACTCAAGTCCGAGGTCCACCAAGTACCCAGACATTTAGAGGCAGTGGTTGGCTTCAAGGTCGCAGAACACACTTCAAGTTGGACATTCTTTGGGACACTTCCATGGGAGTGTATAACTAGCTCACACTTTTCTGCATTCATCTGCAGGAAGTTCTCTGCCAGAAAATCGTTGATCATAGTTGTTTGGGTGTTGCTGGACTGAGGGTCACATGTCAGACTTCGAATGTCATCGGCATGACCCAGGGAGCCCAAGAACACACCTTCCAGAGCTACTCCGGCGTTTGCTCCTTGCAACAGACTGTCAATGAGCACTAGGAACAGGGTAGGGGAGAGAACTGAACCCTGCCTCACTCTACGCTCAATTAGAAAACCTGGCGATAGGCAGCACGTGACCCTTCGGTCTATCATAAAAACTCTGAATTATTCTCCAGCACTTGCCGTGTATTCCGCTTGAGTAGAGGTGTTTTAACACAATGTAGTACTCAACGCTGTCAAAAGCTTTCTCCAAATCGTAGAACGTCTGGAAGACAGTGTTCCCGTTCCGTGCAAGATGGGTAAGGGTTTCATACACGGCGAAGGTAGCATCCTCACATGACACACCACACTGGTAAGCTGTTTGCTGAATTGAGGGAAAACCTTTGGTTTCGAGCTCAGGCAACATTCGAGCCAAGGTGAGAGATTAGAATAGTTTGCTGAGCTCATTGGATACCCCGATCCCTCTATAGCTATTAGGGTCAAGAGGATTCTTTCCTTTCCCTTTGTATATAGGGGTAATATTAGCTTCCTTGAAAGATGATGGAACACACTCCAGAAGAAGAATAGCATTGAAAATCTGTGTAATCCAAGTTCTCAGAAGACTGCCACCAAACTTTAGGTGTTCACTGGAGACTCCGTCTGGTCCAGTAGCTTTACGGTTGGGTAGTTTTGAGATAGCCTTTGAAACTTCTTCAACATCAAATTCTACATCGAACACATAATCCTCATGGGAACGAGAAGCAGTGGTTAGTGACATTATTTCCCTCTGCAAGGCCTGGACCTCACAGGTGCCGGTGATTCTTGACTTACTGAGAGATGAGAAGTGATTTTCCCACGCATGTACAAGCTCTTCTCTATCAGTGATTGTACGGTCGTCGATCTGAAGTTTCATGCATAATGAAGAGGACTTGTGTTTCGAAAAACGCTTAGGATGACGGTTTTTGAACTGCATGTCTTGTTGCTGAATTGTCTTCTCTCTTTCATTGCCTCTAAGGTGTTTATTCGTTGGCGGACTGCTCTCTTAAGAGAGTTTTTCTTACTATATAAGTCTCCAGTTGTGGGACGGCCCGGCCCGCATCCACCCATTCTGACCACATCTGCTACTATCTTCACACAACCTCTGCAACTCCGAATCACGAAATCGTTTCTTTGAGGTATTCTTCTTATGTAGAGGTAGCAGCTGTATGGCAAAATTACAGACGCCTGTCATGACAAAATTTACCTCCTGCTCTACCTGAGCAGTACTGTCGTATGTTTTCCCAATCAGAGGTCTGATCATCCCGCCAATTGCTCTCTGATATTCCCCCATCGCAGGCTGATCTGTAGCAGCTTTGCCCCAATTCACTCTTGGAATTTCTGCTATTTCCTTCCATGTCTGGGTGGGATTAACCTCCATGACTGCACAGACTGCTAGGTGGTCAGATGTATTGAGTGGGTGATCGTCCAGCACCTCAGAGGTAGTCATGAGGTAGGAGGCGCACTGATTTACGATTATGTAATCAACGGTTGTTCTTGTGTGACCACTACAATATGTGTAACCAGGGCTCTTGTCGAGGGGAGCCACAAAAAGGTTATTTCATTCAACAAGATCCCTAAGTGCCAGGCCTTGTGAGTTAGACACAGGGTTGCACCCCACCTCTGCTATGTGTGCATTGAAAGTGACACAGCATGATAGTTAATCTTATCCGAGACCGACTGCAGCTTTGACAGCTCGAAGGGCCACAACCAATGCTCTTGAAGGACAACAACACCGCAACCAATGTTAAGGAGATGGGAAAAGTAAGGTACACTGTTGCTGAACCCTCTGCAATTCCAGCTGACAAATATTAGTGGTTGGCCTGTTTTTAACAGGGTTTACGGCAGAGCGCAAAGTTCCTGTGTTTGCCATTCGAGGGTACCACAAGCGCACACGATAGGGGCCAGTGGCATTTGAAGTCAGGGCAGTGTGCAAGCCAGACTTAGGGATTTTCACCTTCAGTGAAATAGAGGGTTGCCTTCCGATGCAGGTAAACCATGACACAGGGCAGCCCAGAATGCAAGCGAGTGACTCTCTGGTGACATGATTTAGAGACAAACGGTAAGGCCTCACATGGACATAGCAGGAATCTGTAACCTCCGAGACCTTGAGCAGATTTCTCTAGCTGATTTACCCTAACTTGCAGGTCTCTGAAAGTCAGCTTTAACAGGTTTACATCGGTAGCAATTCTTGTCTGAGCAATGATATCAGGAAGCTGTCCCCACGAGACTCCGGCCGCTGATGGAAAAGGCCTGTCTAGATGAGGGCTCTCATGTCTACACAATCCCTCCCCACCAACCAACACATCCTCCCCCTCGTCACCACTCCCTCTTGCTGTGCCAACCATACCACCACATTCCGTGTCCCCACCAACACCCTCCCCTCCACTCTCAGCCACAGCTCTAACACCTTCCCCTCCACTATTAGCCACAGACCGGCAACCACCAATACCCTCCCCTCCACATTCAACAACACCGACCCCTCCACCTTCAACCACAGACCCGCAACCACTCCCCTCCAAAACATTCAACCACAGACCTGCCACCGCCAACACCCTCCCCTCCACATTCACCCACAGTCCTGCCACCACCAACACCCTCCCCTCCACATTCAACCCAGCAACCACCCACAACCTCCCGTCCACTCTCGATGGTATGACCACCACATTCACCGGTGATAGCAGAATCAGCATATTTCTCTCTCCTGGCTTCAAATTGTACCGACTCCGCTTGCCGGCCCGCAATAATGTTCTTGGAACCATCTTACTGGTCTGATTGCAGGTTACTAGGTCCCAGATGTCTTCCGCTATTAAACTTCCATACAGCTGGTCTTGTAGCAGAGTTTTTACGTTCCACGAGAACGTCGAGTCGGTTGACAAGGTCATCTTGTTTGGCAGAATCGAACAAGTCACTACGGATACTCTTGAGGATGTGTACATACAGGCGTCTTAGTCTGGAGAGAAAGTCTGTCTTCGGTATATACATTCAGAGAGATGTCCAGACCAGCTAGACGATCCATCCTCCCTCCACTGTGCGGGACATACGCAGCAGCAGGGGCCAGAAAAGAGAGAAGTACGATGTAGATACACACAAACATTGACTAAAGACAAAGAACTCTTTGGTATTGACCAGAGCCCGGAGAGCGTTTAGAACGCCATTGACGAACGGTTGGAGTCAATGTACCGGTACCGCGCATGCGCAGTTCGCCGAATGTTTTGCACTTCAGCACTTGGCTTACCGCGACCTGATCAGCTCGCTCTGTGTACCTTGGGGGCTCAGGAAGTCACAACGAATGGCATGCATCAACTCCCGTATGCTATCTACTACTGTAGCTAGCCAGTGTCAGACTCTCCGCGAGGTATATATATACAAGTGGAAAAATCATTTCTTCAAAATGAAAGGGGGATATAGGGATGGCTCGAAGCACCAAAAAGAAAGAAACAAGGGGTCATTATATACACAGCAAAGATGTACATGACAACATCCCTATATCTTTGTCTCATATTAAACTTTGCTGATGAACAATAAAACAAAGATATAGGGATAGTGTCATGTGGTTTTGTGCATATTTGGTGTGTAATGACCCCTTGCTTGTTCCTTTTTGGTGCTTCAAGCCATCCCTATATCCCCCTTTCATTTTGAAGAAATGATTTTTCCACTTGTTTCCACTATTTTTAACAGCTTATGACAACACTGCATTTATTGTTACAGTCACTCTGATGTTCATGGGTATGTTGCAGACTAATTGTAACCGTTGAAAGTTGAAAGTAGTAGCTAATGGGGCTGCTATATAGTGCCTGAAGCAGGGGCTAGATACTGCATGCACCTCATGTGTTGTCTTCAACAAGGATGTAATTAGATTATTGCACATGGTTGTGGTTTTATGGGCAGGCTTTGGTAATCAGGCTACAACCTTGGGGTGGGACAAACAATGAAGGCTGACGCGCCCCGCAAGGCTCGCGTAACACCGCGCAGACTCTGGCAAGTTGCTCTTCGTGCAAATCAACAGCAAGCTAGCCAGTTGGAAATGTGCACACTTACTTACAGAAGGTACTGGAGGCTGAGAGTTCCTCTGCAGGTCGCCTGGTAATATGCTCGCAAGCGCACCCCCTGCCTGGCGCATGCGCGCGGCTCACTGATGCAGCAAATGGCGTTGTTCAGTGTCAACCATGGAAGAGCTCCATGATTTACCGTAGTGACTAGCGGCAAGAAAGAAACGATCGCTTGATGTCCGTGCACACCTCCGGCGAAATTGGAGACGTTCAGTGAAAAAAATCAGCGCTTCAACTTGTTCCAGTAAGGAGAAAGCGGGTCTAAAGAAGAAGAATATGAAGAATATGATGACACGAAAATCGTGAAATCGACTATGAGCGAATTCTGGCGTGGAGAACTGAAGGTGCGTATGAGGTCTTTGGGAGCATGTATAGGTAGATATGGGCCGTAGACTATTGCTAGTGTGTTTTGAAGGCCTAGGGAGTGATTCTCACCGAATTTTTAGTCGTTTTGTACGCGGATCACGTGAGATTTCACCCGCGTCATCCCTATATAGAGAGTCTACCGACTCTCTAATACTAGCGGGAGTACAAATAGCCCAGCAATTTGAAGGGATTCGTTTTTTGTGTGTGCACTCTGCAATGCGTGAAACCTCTCAAATTATCACAAGCACCAGCATGTTTAATGGACACCATTATTATTAAGCTATTGTATAGCAGTATTATAACCCCATGTTGTGTCGAGGCTGCGGACACATTAGTTAAGTGTCCATGGCTTGTTAAGCGTAAAAGGGAGAATACCCTTGCTTTCTATTCCACCTACCATAAAAGAAGTGCTGTGATAGACAGTATACCAGCATTTTGTTAATAATTATCCTGGGTAAACACTGTTCTTGCAGGTTATAATCAGACTTTACACTAAAATTTGAGTAATGGAAAAGGTTTGAACATTTTGATTGCATTAACGGAAAAGTGGTAGCACAGATGGATTATTACACAGAAACGAAGCTCATGAAATCTCACTATTATGCTGCCAGTGTAAAAAAATGATTCTCATTACCTAATCAGTCAATTCTGTAACATCTCTGTTTCCGTCGGTCTTACCACACTTTGGACATTTCGCCAAATCTTTGTATCTTTTATATCTTTGTTGTTATACGGCTCTGCAATAGAGGTTTTCTTGCATGTATACTTAGCTCAGGGGAAACTTTGCTTATAAACAATAAAACAAAGATATAGGGATGGTGTCATGTAGCTTTGTGCATCTTTGCTGTGTAATGACCCCTTGTTTCTTCCTTTTTGGTGCTTCAAGCCATCCCTATATCCCCCTTTCATTTTGAAGAAATGATTTTTCCACTTGTAAAAGAAGTGCTGGGATGGACAGTATACCAGCATTTTGTTAATAATACTTAGATTAAAACTGGGTAGCTATATCTGTCTTGCTGGTTCTAATCAGACTGTACACTAAAACTTGAGCGATGCAAATATTTATATTTTTAATGCATTAACGGAAAATTGGTAACACAGATGGATTATTACACAGAAACTAAGCTCATGAAATCTCACTATTTTGCTGCCAGTGTCAAAAAATGATTCTCATTACCTAATCAGTCCATTCTGTAACATCTCTGTGTCCGTCGGTCTTACCACACTTTGGACATTTCGCCAAATGAGCACAATGCTTGCAATACTTGAAGGGCCTCTTGTTCCTTTCGGGGTATTTTGTGTTCATGCAATCTGCAGCCGTTTGAATAGACACCGTTCCTGAAGTCAACCTCACACCCGTCTGAATGCTGTTCCTCATCATAATTGGCACATCTCTCCTGCAATAACACATGACATTATAACTCTTTTGGTCAACCACGGGTATTAAATTTCACAACTTTTGGATATTGACAAGTGAGGATGTATAATAATATTATAATTATTATAGTCCTTTTAACGGTGTGTATACAGATTATTTGGTAATTGCATCAGTATAATTAGAGAAATTGTGTGTGGGGATATACTGTTTGTATTGCCTTGCCATAGTCATAATAATATTATCATTACCCACACTTACAGGTCCTGTAATTATAGGTACCAGAAAGAACCTCACCTACAATGTAAGTACTTGTCTTCATGCAGTTTATCTCACAATCATTGTGAGAAGTGTGGTAAGGGATAGTATGCTAAAGGTTGTACGTGTAATGGGAAAATGGCTATTGCCCACACAGTATAAATGAAAGCTTAAACAGAAGCCAAAAGTGTTCACAAATAGCAGCCATTTGCATGACCTTGCCAAAGTTTCTATACTTACCCTAAATTGCACAAACGAGCAGCATCGTGGGGTTAATTTTGTTCCACATTCTTATATACCTCCCGAGTGCACATTCTTTAACACTGCGGTGCGTGTTTGATTAATTATATAATTATGATAGGAGGTCAATACTCACAGTATTGATCTTTCCTTTACCACCTGCTCCTCCTTTACCACCTGTTCCTCCTTTACCACCTGCTTCTACTTTACCACCTGCTCCTCCTTCAGTATCTGTGGTCCCTTGACCAGACCCCTATGTTGCAAGAAGAAACACATGTTAGCACAAACATTTTCCCACTTTCCCCTATATTGCACGATTTTGTTATGGAATAGCAATGTTAGATGTGCAATAAAACTGGGAGCCAAGCTGGAATGGGACAGGCTGTGTATACATGTCTGAGAAGTATTGCTAGAACCCTGATCTAAAGTAAGAAGTTAGAGCTTCCACTGGCTATGTGCTATCTAACCAAGCATTGTGACAAGATACGTACACAAACTATCGCAGTGTATATACCGGATTGATGCCTTTCTTATCGTCTTCATCATCACTATTGTCTGAATTTGGCTTAATCGGTCGCTAAACAATATATGTGCCCAGAGCCTCCATAAATCCATAAGAATATAATATTATGGCTATAATACTAGGCGTTAATTATGTTATACATCAATTTCTGCTTATTGAAGGAGACACCCATGGTGCCCAAAGGGTTAAAAAGAACCCAAAAGTGTTCACAAGGATTATAGTGGTATGTAGCAGCCATTTGCATGACTTTGCCAAAGTTTCTATACTTACCCTAAATTACAAAAACGAGCAGCATTGTGGGGTAAATTTTGTTCCACTTTCTTATAATACTACCCAGTGTGAATTATTTAACACAGCAGAGCGTGTTTGATTAATAATTATTTTAGGAGGTCAATACTCACAGTATTGCTGTTTCCTTCACCACTTGCTCCTCCTTCAGGATCAGGTGCCCTTTGACCAGACCCCTATGTTACAAGAAGGAAAACTTGTGTTGGCATAATCATTTTCATTTTCCCACTTTCCTTTATGTTACACGATTTTGCTATGGAGTAGCTAGATGTGCAATAAAACTGGGAGCCAAGCTGGTAAGCTGGTATTGGACAGGCTGTGTATCATGTTTATACATATCTGAGAAGTCTTGCTAGAACTCTGACTCTAAAGTCAGGAGTGAGAGCTTCCACTGGCTATGTGCTATCTAACCAAGCATTGTGACAAGATACATACACAAACTATCGCAGTAGTATATACCGGATTGATGCCTTTCTTATCGTCTTCATCTTCACTATTGTCATTTGGCTTTGGCTGCTGTGTGGTAAAAACATCCAGGAAAGCCAGAAAAACAAAAAGGATATAGTAGTAACTCGGATAACACTAAGTAATCAGCTATGTAGCTATCTGATAAAAGATTCAGGCAAGTCAGAAAACGAATTAATAGCTCAGAGTTTATACAAAAGCAATTATGTATTGTTCAGGTAACTATACCTTTTTTACTTGAGGGATGGACATTATTCTCTTTTGTGAAGCTTACAGTAGAATCTGGAAGAGACGATGGAGGGGAATAAGAACAGGTACAAACAGAGGGAGAAAGGTATAGGGAGAGAATAATGGTGAGTGAGTGAGCAAGCAAGATAGAGGGAGAGAGAGATGAGAGGGGGGAGGTATGAAAAAGTATACTGGGGAAATGAAAGGAAATGTGGAGGGAGAGGCAAATAGACAGAGGGAAGAGGAGGGAAGAGGAGGTAGAAAAAGAATGATGGACTAAGGGAAGGGAGAGGCAGAGAGAGTGAGACTCACCTTTACCAATCTCCTACTGCCGATGGGTCAGAGCCGACTGAGTAGCTATCGGCAGTCAATCTACAAGTCCCCTATCAGATCCCAGTTTCCCGTGTCCTTATTAGGAGCTGTAGGGCAACCGTATGACGGTGCCCTTGTTCACAGGAGATGATCTGATTGGTCAGTTCTGAGATAGGGATAGGCCTAGAAAGCCGCAGTTTGTATAGGCTACTACTCAGCACTTGATGGACCTCTGAACTGCATGTTTACTAGAGTGGTTGGGTATGCTCTGTCTGTATAGCAACATGGCATGTTTGTTCTTATCACAGCTACATTGAAAGCCATTATACACACCTGGAGAATGTTTCAACAAAGCCCATTAAGGTCCGTTTCCCCAGGTTAAACAGTTCTCTTGCGAATGAAAGGTGCGATTTCACCTATTGTAAGAATACAACGGCAGCTTCTATAAGTCAGTGGTTGGGTGTAGCTATTATGAACTATACCTAATGAATAAAGAGGACTGGGATGGGCATTGCTTAATGTTGTGGCACACTGACCAGGCTACGGTAGTAAAGCATGGAGATGTGTGCGCTCTATGCTTTAGGTATTACCAGTGACCGTACATAGCTTTGTTTGTATGCATCACTCTTTTGGTCTCATAGCTTGTTATTGACTCTTAGCAAGGTACATTTTCCCCCTACTTGTTTGTGCCAAGGCATGTGCACTATTTATTCCCTGCTGTCTTGTAACATAAAGGTATAACATAGCTAGCTATGTAGAATGTGCAGGTGAACAAAATACCATTTCACAGTAGGTGATTTATGTTACTTGATAGCCAATCAAATAATTATTATGAAACTAAAGTCTAGTGTACTGGGTTATACTTGGTGCAGCTGTGTGCTCTAAATGCATTTCCTCCTCAAGTAGCCCCTCCCAGAGAGAAGAGAAACACACCAAATGAGGGAGTGAGAAAGGGGGCTCCAGATAGCTATGGCAAGCATATGATCTTTCTATATCGCAAAATGGCATCTTTGTTCTTATCACGTGCACAGCTCCATTGAAAGCCATTATACACACCTGGAGAATGTTTCAACATAGCCCATTAAGGTCAGTCAAACAGTTCTTTCGTGAATGAAAGGTGCAGATTTTCACCTATTGTAAGAATACAGTGTCAATCAAGAAACGGCAGCTTCTGTAAGTCAGTGGTTAGGTGTAGCTACTGCTATTATGAACTATACCTAACGAATAAAGAGGACTGGGATGGGTGTTGCTTAATGTTGTGATCAGGCTATGGTAGTAAAGCATTGAGATATGTGTGCACTATGCTTTAAGTATCACACAAAGCCTAGTGTAATGGAGCTATACTTCATGCAGTGTGCTCTGAATGCTCAAGTATAGAGCCCCTCCCAGAGAGAAGATAAGAGAAACAAACCAACTGAGGGAGTGGGAAAGGGGGCTCCAGATACAGCAAGCATTTATTTTCAAAATCAAGTGTCCTTAGAGAATTCTGTGGGTGCTGTGGTAATGTTTCACCGCATAAATGGAGTGGTGTGCTATTATTATAGGAGTGTCTCATTGTATTTTGGTAAGGGCAGGACTAGACTTAACTGGTCAGGAGTATGTAGCCATTAGTGAACGATTACTATGTGACTGATGGTTATAATACGGTCGGGGCTACAAATACTACCCGACATTATAACAGCAACCTTCCACATCAAAATACCTCGTTGGTAAGATGGTGGTAGTAGGATACAAGTTCTATATTGGAGGGAGTGGGTAGGAAGTTTGGGTGACATAGCTACCGTTTATTACTCGAGTACAGTATGGCTAAGAAGGTCCTCAGCTGAGGACAATAGTAGCTCCAATTGTGTTGTTTGGCATGTCAGCAGTTGATAACGATAGTTGGTTGATTAGACCCAAGACCTGGTGGTCCATCTCAGTGCTCGGCAGTACATGGACACAACCTTTTCCCCAGTGCCAACAGCTAGAGAATACCACTCATTAACAACAGGCCACCAGAAGTGGATTGTTGTGGTTGGTGAATCGACAGGCATGGAACAAAGTTTTGGAAGTGTGCTGACACCAGCTCACAACAGTGATGCAAGACATTACCACTACTAAAGAGCCCAACCCGTCACTTTGCTATGGTTCAGGATATCCCAGTAGCACTATGTGGGTGATCCTACACACAAACCCTAGCCTTTCTTCATTCTATCAAAGGCCATGCTTCATGCACTGGTTGTGAATGCATATCCTTCGAAAATTTGAGATTTCCTGGGTGTAGTTGACTTTTTGCTTTGCCTTGTCTTCGACCTAATTGGGGACACATGCTGTTTTCTCCCAAAGAACTTATGGTGACCGGGTCAGTGTGTTAAAAAATGGAGGTTTCAGATATAATGTGAACTAGATACATGAATTACAAGCTGACCTGCTTTGTAGGATATTATCACTATACTAGTTTGCATTCTCTTGTGCATATCTGGTGCCCACGAGACATGATTGCGCAAACTTTAGCGCGAAGGTTTAGCACAGTATGATGATGTGTGACAGTGCCAAATACTTATTAATTTTTGAGTTTGAGGAATGTGGGAGTGTATATAAGGACTAATTTTAGCAATGTTAGCTAACAATGGGGCGAGAATGCTATTACGTTTCTGTTTTCTGTAGCAAAACTTTCTGCATTTAGCACGTCAACCATCCTTCTCTCCCTTTTTAATCCCTCATTGAGCATTTTGCTGACCCTTTTATCATTACTATGAAGCAGCAAAAAGTAATATTATTAATTTTACAATCATAGTCAAACAAAAAATAATGCTAAGATATTTCTTGTAATTCTCAAATTGTGATACTATTTGGAATGTTCTTGGGGGACATATAGATGTATGGCACATCAAGACCTTCATTCCTCTTCTTAATCATCTCATCAATTTGCTTGAGTTTACCGTCAAGCTCCTTCACAGCCTGCTTTGCTCTTTCTTCAACAAACTGCTCAGGAGGGTATGCTCCCAAGTAAATCTAAGAGAAAGTAGCTACATAATATTTTTGTTTGATTATGGTAGTGTATTGTGTGTGCATTGCATAGAGGAGGTTGGAAGTTGTTGTTTTATGCAAGTGTACAGAAACACTGAATTACTGCAAGTCAGCAAAAGTTAGGATGGCCGTTTCTTCAACACTGGAACTCACAAGTACAGATCATAAAGGGCTTCATTACAGTCACTAGACGGGGGCAACCCATTTTTATTTCAATTAACTGCCTACCCCCTACTTAGAATGTAGGCCCGGTCTTACAGCAATCTTGTGCAGTTTCTGAGTTCAGGATTTTGTCAATGTTATCATCCAACACCCTCTGGTGTGTGTGGATGCAATTAAGTTAGTACAACAAGTCTTAATTAATTACCAGTATAATTATAGCTACTGTACAGGAATGCATGCTGGCAGATATTAAAGTTGTGCAGATAAATTTGTAGCTACCTCACTAACTTGTGCTATAATCTTACAAGAGCAAGTGCTTAGGAAGCACTGGCAACTTTAGCTGAGTGGAAGATAACATGCAGTAAATTTTTTTTGCAATGTATTCCTTCTGGCAGAATGAAGCTACTCTAAGCACAACAAGAATACTATTCTGCTGTATTACCTCATCTGGGGAATAACCGGAGAGAAGACTAACAAGAACATTAGTGGCCAATGTTTCCTCCTTGTCTGGAAGAGAATCCATTAGATCCTTGAACTTGAGTTTCCCCTTTTTCGTTGGAGGCGGTTTATGCAGAACAAACGGAGCATTGGGAACAAAACTGTAGTAGGTGTATTGACCAAAATTGACAGCAGCATGTTGAGCTGATCCAGTAAACATGACAAGGGTGCAAATCTGAATTAGTTCCACCTTAGTTGCAATTGAAGACGGAAACTTATGACCAGGTGTGCCCCCATATGGAGGGAAACCATTGCCATTGACATCTTTAGCAAAATTTTGCAATTCTTCATCTTCACTAACTGATGCATCGTTAACATAGCACATGTCTATAATTTCAGTGACATAAGACTCAATAGCATCCCAAACCCGATATCCATCATCGCGATAGTAATAATGAGGTAGTTTGCTTGCGTCATCAACACCTCGTTCTTCAGTATTACGTTTGATGTTACTCCAATGAACAGAATATGCTGTTCCACACCTTTTAAAAACTTCTAATTCACCATCGGCACCAACAGAAAATGTCCTTGCAAGGATTCCTGTTGCATTGATTAGCGACTCCCTGGCCTTTCGATTGATAGCCATCGTGTAGCGAACGTGTGGTCGCAGGAGCTTGTAGACTGGGTGGGCATTTGGAATATTGCGCATGAGCCCCATTGAGTATGTTTCCATCACAGCGTGGCAGGTGAGGTAGTGACTGCTAATCTCGTGAAACTGAGTATTAATATAAGGCAGCATTATATTGGATGGGCTAGCTACCTGAGGCATTGGTCAAATCTTACGTGATTGGCGTGATATTAGGCTAATAACATTATGCCAGAAAACGATGTCTATATTCTGTTCTCCATGTGAGGAGTTGCTATTCAAGGATGGCTAAATTGACTGTGTGCTTGAAAACTAGCATAACATGTTTTGGTTTTCATATGATTATTTTACAGAAAGCATATTGGCCATTTCCTTCTGAAGCAGTAACGCTGGCTATATAGTCCATTCCCAAATCATGAATATTGTACTACTGCTTTGTTATAATTATGAAGTGTGTATATTATCTTGGCATAGGAATGCTGAAATAAGATAAACAAATTTTCAAGCACCGACAATTATTTAAAGGCGTAAGCAAATGCATTGCATTCGTCTACTTATAACGCAACTGTGCTATTACAGCTATACTCGAGTGGTTTGGTGTAAACGTTAAATTACATCATCTTCCCTTGACTACTGCATTGTCTGCTGGGTCGCTGTGTTCCAGCCACAATGTTTTCTGACTGGAGGAGATAGATTCTGAAGACAGTCAAGCTATGTAAGAGGATGAACCTCTGCCTACAAGACTGTAGTATGTGTATATAATCTGGAAGAAGAAAGGGTGCGAGCTAGCGAGCTGACATTTCTAAGTTGTATGATTGTGCTGGGGTATCTCTTTGTACAAACCCAGAGGCTCTACTACAGAAAAAGCCCAAGACCCAGAGCGAAAGTTGCTTAACCTTAGCTTTCAAATTCCCTGTTGGGTGAAGATAGATAGCTTTCCAGGCAGTTTCCATTGTTAGCTAGAGGTGTTTTCTTATTGGACTCAGCTGAGAGGCTGTCTTGCAACCCACACACCAGTCGGAACAGCGCATTAGGACTGGAATTCGATACATGGAGGTGAAATCCGTGTTCGAGTAGAAGTCATGCAGAGCGATCTGCCTTCTCTCTGTGTTTTATGTTCGTGTCATCATAGCCTGAGTCTTGCACGTTTTCTGTGTCTATGAGCCATACATCGACATGGCAGGTATGCAGGTATGGCAGGTATGCTGGTATGGATGGTATGCATATGCTCCTACGACAATTGCTATTTTTGAAGGCATAGCAAGTCATTATCACCACGTTTTGAGATGTTTTGTAAGCGGATCACATGAGATTTGACCTGTGCCATCTATAGCATCTACCGACACTTTTACATGGAAGGTTTCACTGTGAGAGAAGCTTGGGTTCACCAATGGTAAAAGATCTCTCAATAAAATTATCCCTTGTTCTCGGCAAGGGCACCCACTATGCCTTGCCATGCTAGCTGGCTCTCTAATGCTGCTGCCCCAGCATTTTGTGCAGTCTGTGTCTGTGTTCACCATCACTGCCATCATGCGCTAGCTCACAACATAAGTATTACGTATTTCGTAAGTCTTACCTAAGGAAGTTCGCTTCATTGTAGTCCTATTTCTTTTCTAAGTAGTACATGCATGAGCTGTTTAGTTTGAAAGCCAGTCAGACAATGCAGTTATAGCTGAACTTAACATCCGTCAATATGCTTCAATGGGAGACTAAGCTATAATAATCAATTGCGAAGCAAGGGTTCTAACAGCTCACAAGGAGGCTCACAGACATATTGAGTTAGAGCGGGTGCTGATCATTCTAATTTTTAACAAAGGGCTTAGCTTGGATGATAGCTTGTAGGCATAATAATTATTGCTATATAGCTACACAAGATCATGCTCATTGCTCATGAACTACCCAGCCATTCTAACTGAAGTGTGCATGCTAGGGCAGCTCTTCTTTTTGCTTGAGTTGTCCTGGGTGCAGTTGACTTGTTTACATTGCCTTTGCCTTGCTACCTCGTTGTTGGCACATGCACACATTAACTACCAGTGCTAAATATGTTAGAAGGCACAGAGCAAACATTGTTTGCGGTTTATGCTAGCTGGAGCAAACAGCTTCCAAACCTGTGAATGAGATGACATGTAATATATTTTTGCAGTGAGCCAGTCGACCCATCCATCAGTAGGCAGAAAGATTGGGTGATCATCAGGTTTTCTGCCCCAGCTGAATAGCGATTGGCTTCAACTGACCAGCTCCATTCACGTGAAGCATACACAAAGGAGCTGCACAGTAGGCCCCTTCTTTACATGGAACACCGTCCATGATTTTAAGATCACAGATATACACATGACCAGCCTGTTGATTAAAGACAGGAAGAATAATATACTCCATTACACACACACCGATGCCAATGTGCACACTACTGCTTGTACTCCTTTTGGTGAATGTACATTCCTGCAAGGAATCTTCATGCAGATATAATTATATCATACCTCCATCGCTTGTGCCAAAGTTTCTCCACGATCAAGTAGACCTTTAACCATCTTTTCGGTAACTGGAAAATTGTCCAGAGGGGAATCGTATCGGCGAATGACAACTGGATTCACTCCATTCAAAATCTGTCGCCCAAACTCAACGTCGGATGTCCATCGACCGAGTTCAGAGACACGGACGTCGGGCACTGGGTGTAGCTTGGCCATTTTCTCGTATTCAGACATTGTCTGCTCTTCAGTGTTTATGATGCCTTCGGCTGCATCAATGGCGTCAACGGCTCCTGATTTATAAAAATCGACATTCTTGACAAAGTGAAAACCTTCCTCGGTTGGTAGTGGGAATTTATCGTCAAAGGAAGATGGAAGGTGGTCTAATAGGTGTGTCGTCCAGGGGTAACTATCATGTCGTTTTTGGAGCTGCATTTCTCGATAGCGCACTAGAACTGGGTTGTTCTTTACATCTTGAGGCAAAGCTGTGCAAAAGAATAATTATACATTTTACTCTGGAAAATTCATTTCTGGAAAAGGCACACAGTTTGTATAATTATACACCACTATGTCTTATTCATGCTCTATTATTGGCGAGCGGGAGCCAGCAAACCTAGTCGTTTGTTCGAGCGGATTTTTCTATTTATTAGTGGTTTCTTCTGGTGGAATTTCTATAATATACGACGCACCGTCCGTCGTGGTTATGCGCATGCGCCGATATTACGCGCTTCAACTAATATTGCGGGGCCCGGTGGTTCAGTTCACGTCCAGCAACGATACTGCTTCTGTTCCAAGAGGTAGACAGACTGAACGCCCGGCCGTCGAAAGTCCTCACGACCGAGAGGCTCGTCCTTTCCAGTGACGATTACGAGATCGAGAGCGGGCAAGGCAACGATACTGCTTCTCTTCCAAGAGGTTGACAGACAGAACGCCCGGCCGTCGAAAGTCCTCACGACAGAGAGGCTCGTCTTTTTCAGCGACGATTTAGAGGAGAGCGGGCAAGACAACGTCGGACTACACATTACCGTTCCGTGCTACCTTTTTCTGGTAATTTCACTGCAATATAATATGACAAACAGCACCATAAAAAATTTTGTTACGTGCTGAAACATTTTACCTGTAGGTATAATATATGCAGCTATTACTAGAAGAATGTTGAACATTGTTGGCGAGCGGGAGCGACCCAACTTGGGATTTGTCCGCGATTTTCGGTCTGCATAACGTGCCGTCAGCGCACAGCCTTCCTTTCGTGAAGCAAGACAGAGCTACCTGTCGCCGTTACATGCGTACTGTATATCTATTCCCAGAACGGTGAGCAGGTGAGCAGAACGGTCCTTACCTTACGCTTTCAGCTCGTCTGTCGTGGTGCACCAGGCTAGGCAGCGATCGATCGGGCTGCCCGACAACGCGGCGTGTGGCATGCAGCAGTATGTGCACGAGCAATCCTAGCGTATTTGCAAGTTGCAGCTTGGAACCATGAAGATTGGGAAGAGGTACAGCCTCGGTCAATCACCGAAGGTTGCAGCGCATGCCGCCGAATGGAGGAGAGTCGCTGGCTAGACCATTCGGCGCATCACTGACGTGTAAAAATTTTAAAATAATTTCGGATAAAAAGAAGCGCGTACAAAGCCGCACATGCGCACTTACACGGCGTACGACGACGACGGTCTATAGAAAATTCCGCTCGAACGAAAGACTAGGTTGGCTCGCTCCCGCTCGCCAATTACTAAGTACGGTAGTACTTAGTATATAGGGATGGGCATGGTACCTAGCATCATAGATGTATGGAGCTACAATAGGGAGTTTTGTTCATCTTCTTCTTCTTCTTCTTCTTCTTCTTCTTCTTAAACCAGCGTAACTCAAAAACCGAAAGAGATAAAGCCATGAAATTTTGTAGGAAAGTACATATCGATAACCACATGTGCAACGTCATACTTTTTGTTTGTAAATAATGTTCCCAAGGAAATACATTATAATGGGCATACTACATGTGTCAGTGTAACTCACAATCGGTAAGAGTTACGTGAGCGAAAGTTTGTATACGCAATGTATTCAATAGCCAACATCAAAATCACAACAATACATGTTTGTAAATAACAACAAATAGCCTCAGGCACTTTTCTATAAAATTACTTCTTCACTCCTGAAACTCGCTAACTATAGCACGCATGGAGGTGAAACTTGGTGCGCATGTGTATTACATCGTTTCCATGACGACCACAACAACAAATAACCTCAGGCACTTTTCTTTAATATTACTTCTTCCCTCCTCAAACTCGCTAACGGTACCACGCATGGAGATGAAACGTAGTATGCGTGTGTGTAACATTGTTTCCACGACAACCACAACAACAAATAGCCTCAGGCACTTTTCTTAATTACATCTTCACTCCTCAAACTTGCTAACTGTAGCACACATGGAGGTGAAACTTGGTGCACATGTGTATTACATTGTTTCCATGACGACCACAACAACAAATAGCCTCAGGCATTTTTCTTTAAAATTACTTCTTCACTCCTCAAACTCGCTAACGGTACCACGCATGGAGATGAAACTTGGTACGCATGTATGTAACATCATTTCCATGACGACCACAACAACAAGTAGTCTCAGGCACTTTTCTTTAAAATTACTTCTCCTCAAACTTGCCACTGGTTTACTGTAAACATGGTATGCATATTATTTCCATGACGACAACAGGCATTTTTTCTCTATTATTAATTTTATAGGGGCTTGCCCCCTTCCACAGAAATAATATGTAGTAGTATATAAAATGAGTGGAGACAAGTAAATTAAAAATCCTGCGAATTTAAAAAAGGAGGCATAAAGGGATGGTATATATAAAAAGAAAAGGAGACAAGATAGGGATGGGATACATGAAGCATGGTTAATGAACAGATTTGAGTACGCTGACACCCCAACCCCATCACACAATCCCTATATTGTTGCCTAGGTGAAGTATTAAACGTTCGCCATTACAATACTCAAACTTACAATGCACTACTGAGTAACCAACACCCTTATAGAGTCCAAGTGGAATTCAATTAAAAGGGAATGTGGCAGTATAAATGTTACTAAAAACAACAGGGACACTGCCCCTACAAGAGTAACACACCAGGCAACAATATTGGGATTGTGTGATGGGGTTGGGGTGTCAGCGTACTCAAATCTGTTCATGTATCCCATCCCTATCCGTCTCCCTTTCTTTTTATACCATCCCTATATGCCTCTCTTTTTTAATTCGCAGGATTTTTTATTTACTTGTTATCGCTAGTAATGATGATGGTTGTATATACTTGCGCTACAGTACACTTAAGGCTCGCTCCGCTCGCCCAAAGAATGCCAAGCATTTCCACTAGTTTATTTATCGGCCGACGTCACCGTACGTGGTGTAAGTGCGCATGCGTGGCTTCGTTACATACATGCAATCCCACCTAGGGCAGCTTTTTATTTTCCCTTGGAAAAAAAGAGCTGTCCTGGGTGTAGTTGATTTGTTTGTTGTGCCTTTGCCTTTCTATGTACCTCATAGTTTTCACATGCATTATTATACTTGGCTTGGAGTTGGGCGTCATTGGTGGTTTAATTACCCCAGTCTGCTCCTACATGCTAAGTGAGAGTATACTGTGCCATAGCACAGTGGTCTGAGGTTTGCCTTGTGTTGTGTTGTGTTGTGTTGTAGATTCGAACCCCTACCAGCTGTGTTTCCTGGTATATAGCTCAGTTGGTAGAGCGCTCGCCCAGACTCCATAGTGTCGTGGGTTCCAATCCCACCTAGGGCAGCTCTTTATTTTTCCTTGGGAAAAAAGAGCTGTCCTAGGTGTAGTTGATTTGTTTGTTGTGCCTTTGCCTTTCTATGTACCTCATAGTTTTCACATGCACGTGTGCTATATAAATTATAATGTCTGACAACCGTGGCAACCATGGATCATCAGTCTACAGAAGATGCCCTTCGTCGTCGAAGAGAGCGCGGGATTCTCAACGCCGACTGCGTGCTAGGGAACGGGCAAGGGAACGCCTCGCCGCCGAAACAGCGGAAGAAAGGGAAACACGACTAGCGAGACGTCGTGTTTTGTACGAGATGGAGCTAGACGCGCTGCGGAATCAGGGAAAACTAAACAGGCTAGGCTCGCACAGCTCTGTGCCCGTGAGACTCCTGAGGCTCTGCTCCCCTGCTCACCAATATACAGTACGCATGTAACGGCGACAGGTAGATCTGTCTTGCTTCATGAAAGGAAAGCTGTGCGCTGACGGCACGTTATGCAGCCAGAACATCGCGGGAAATCCCAAGTTGGGTCGCTCCCGCTCGCCAACAATGTTCAACATTTCCACTAGTAATAAACAAGTGAAATACAGTTTCTGCCTGGTGGAAAGAGCTCCTGGACAGCTAACTGGCTGTGTATAAGTTGAACCTTTTGCATGGTATCTAAGGAGGCACACTACTCCTACAACCGTGATGTTTTCGTGTCAAATAGTTTGCACATTAAACACAACTGCATGTTAGAAATGTTACGTGATTAGTTTTGCTAGCAGTTAGAACTCACTTGTAGCAGATGAGAAGGAGATTGAATCATTGTTGCCAAACCAAAAATAGCACGGAAAAACTTGCTTCTGGAGCGGATCAAAAGTGTAAACTTCAACAAAGTCGACGTACCATTGCGGTATCAAGGATGCATTTTTATGTAATTCCACCACCAACACTTCCCCTAAACTTCCTTCACACTCGACAATAAAGTCAAAATAGCGTCTGCTATCTTTTGGAAAGGTGTTGAGCAAACTTAAAACGCAATTTCCACTAGAAACAGCTTCACTTCCAACAAGAGTAATTTTAATATCTCCGTCACAGAGACCACTGTCAGCTGGGTTGCCTGTCACAATCCTCACACCATAGTAGAATTGTCCATCTACAGAAGGAGATAATAACACATAATTATTATTACAGACAAAGCATTGAGCAATAATTGATAAATGAACCCTTTTCTAAACTTCTCCACATTACTACAAAATATTATTGGCCCAGCTACAGGCTACGGGGGGCGTTACTTTTTAGCTTCAGAGCTAATGGCTGGGTTTGAGAAGCAAGAGAATTGATATGATGTTATTAAGCGACATCGATTTGTTAACCCTCGGCATGTGCATGCGAAGTGACGGTACTTTGTTTTTTGTGTCTTTCTATGGTGTAGCAGTAACTCACAATGGCAGAGAACAGTGAGTCGTAATTATGTTTTTTTTATATTTTGATATTCAGATAGTGACAGTGAACCGCTGTGTTGTGTGATAGCAAACTTAGTGGTGATCAAATTGGCATAGGGACCATGCAAAATGCAAAATCATGCAAGTGTCTTGTTCAGTATACAACCAGTTACAGCAGGGTTCTAACGAGTTATGGCGATGAAGTAACAACTTGGAGCAGTCGTGTAACCTCCTTCAGCAGCGCCCTAACCAGTTACAGGAGAGACATAACCTCCAGTACACATCTTCCTTCTATTGGGCCTCCCCTGCTTATTCGAAAATCTGACTTCAGGGCATTTTATCCTCAGGGTTTCTTTCAGCCACTATTATTCTACCACTATGCTCTATTCTCTATTATGGGATCTGCTATGGGAATATATATGAGCTGACCAAAAGGTGGTGAAGGAACGTACATTTGTACAACTGTGAAATACAGAGCACACCGCAATTGTCTAATTGTCGCTCCGGCCTCTGAGAACTTCCGTATTCCGGAATTTCGATAGTAGCTACCACGTTGTCAACAACTTCGGGCAACTCATATTTTGTTCCTGGCTTTCTGATAATTAGCTATGCACTGTGAAGTTACAAGTCACCAAGTATTGTGTCTGTAGTATACACATTTCCTTTCCACAAATACTTCTGAAATAGTAACGCATGCTGAAGTATACACCTTTTTCTATATCGTAGCCTTTCCACCAAATATAGGAAAGCATCCTATATACAAAGTGTGGATCTAATAGCTGTGTAGCTATGCATGGGGAACTGGATGTGTAGGCTTACCGCTAACGCCCGACAGGCAGCAGGGGCTCTTCCAGGGACCCTCTGCACAAAACGAAAACAAATTACCAGCAGTTTAAAGATAGTATAGTGACATTGTTACTAATTGTGAGGACCACCTAAGTACTAAGTAGCTACAATGACGGATTTGTGTATGCCTGTCCATCCGCCGTGGTCACCATTATGCTCAAGAGTGCAAATTTGTAAAAGTGCATTTATGGATGCTCCTGGTGACGTGCCTCGATGGTGGGGGATTTTGAGGTTACACGGGTAGCTAGGTGGCATGTTGTAACTTGATCCTCCACAATGTACAAGCAGGTGAAAGGGTTCAGTGCAGATTTATCAGCAGATTAAATCACCGTAGCTAAGCTTGTTGTATGTGGTGGCAGAAAACGTGGTAACAGGCAGGTGGACAATCTTCACTGAGATTGCACCTTGAGGGAATACCTATTCCCCAAAAATTCTTACAGTAAACCAATCCTATGAAGAAGGAAAAACCCACCCACAATAATAATAAAATGGTATGTCAAGAATGCTTTGAAAATGAATAGCTAATGAGGTTCATTTTGGGCTAAAACACCTACACGCAGGTCTAAGATACCTGCGGTTAGGTGGCTTACTTCTAACTAAGACCCTCCCGTTTACAGTACGCGCAGACCAGGGCGTCTAGAAGCGACGATCACGAGCTGAGACTGCTCAGACATCGCCCTGACTCGAACAGTTCCGATGCTGCTAATAACAGTGATTCTAAGTCATCGTCGACGAAGTCTTCGACAGTGCCCAGTGTGGACCTCTCCCCTGCCGGGGTACCGTCGAAAAGTTGAGGCGCCGCCGCTAATGTCAGTATAATACTTACCAGCATCGGCGCAATCGTGGATTGCGCCCGGTATCGGCTTGGGAGAACTCTCCTCCGCGGTGCTTTCTTCAAAGAGCTGCTAGCTACCAACCAAGGTTCAAGGCGGACGAGCTACAGCTAACCGTACGGCTATCCATTTTCTTAACAAGTAAGACGGCAGATTCGAGTGTCTTCGTGCCCGCGTGGTCGGTTGGAATGACGCAATAGAAACCTCGGCTCCGCCTCGGTTACTATTGCGCATTCCAACCTCCCACGGACCACGAAGACACTCGAATCTGCCGTCTTACCTATACAAATCCACTTACACAATACATAAAAAAATTTCAGGTAACTGGAGGGGTTAGAAACCCACACCCCTACGCGAGACTATACACAAACCAACTGTGCTGTCACGTTTCACGTGTCACACGCAGATCGATGAGGGTTAATGGTGGTCAGGTCATCCAACTACCAATCCTACAGCTATGGGTTATGGTTAATGGGGCATTACTAGTGAAATTTCCACGTGGTTAATGGGAGGATCGAGTAATCAATCCCAAAGGACATATGCCTCGTGACAGAAAATGAATACAAAATTAAGACTATAATGTACACACAAAGCACTAGTCTTAAACCGCATTGGCCGAACCACTACAAACACACAATGTGTTCTCAAGAAAGAGAGTTAAAGCATCTCTAAGATCATGGGTAGATAGTGGTTTTTCGATGTGTGGCCAAAAAATAGCTGCTCAATTTGTGATCAGAAATAGTTAAAGGGGCATTACTAGTGAAAATTCCACGTGGTTAGTGGGGAAGGATCCAGTAACAAATCCCAAAGGACATACGCCTCGTGACAGAAAATGAATACGAAATTACAGGTCTGTAATGCGTAGCTACTAGCTACACATAAAAGCACTAGTCTTACCACCGCATTGGCCAAACCAAATGTTCTCAGAGTGCCCTAGGAAAGAGAGTTAAAGCATCTCTAAGATGGGTAGCTAGTGGTTAATACGATGTGTGGCCAAAAAATAGCTACTCAATTTGTGGTCAGAAACAGCCAGCATGCAAGCCTATATACCCAGGAAATCAACAAACAAACGGTTCCTCAGGCTATGCTGGGCACTAAATAATTATGACTCCCAATTTCACAGTCCTCACCACATTTTTACACCGTTTCTGCCTGCTCAGTCCATGTGTGCCTGACGAAGCATTAACTTTACCCAGCTGAACAATCCTGAACACCAGACTGATCCTAGCTAGAGCTACCACCAATGTCTTCCTTTTGTCAGTCAACCATGGTGATGCACATACCCGACAGGTATTCAGGGAAGCCTACTTGCAACCTTAGGAGCAAATATTTTAGTTGTCATGAAGGAAATGTGTTTGGGTATTTCCAGTCGCTTGATTGTTTTAGGAAAGCATTGGTCTGGGAGGATAAATTTGGGTCTCTGCTTTACCTTGTTAAGTACTAGATAATAAGAAAGGTTAATCCCAGTGTTCAACAGTCCCAGTCTCAGATTGCGTCTGAGGAACTGCAGGGTGTCGCGGGTGAGCTAAGGTGTCTGGGAGGCAAGACAGACAGTGTATAGTAGCTATCATCTCTATCTCTATGTCATGTGGTATTGTTGCTCAGGTGTGGTTGAAAGGTAGACATCAATCCTATTCCACTTTTACAACATCACGATTTGAGCACTTCCTATCCCCCTCCCCACTTCTGTAAACTAGAGGTCAGTTGCTGTTATATACATGTCTAGAAACAGACGACAGACTCTAAATTATTTGTTATTGAATAATAGATACTTAATTAATCATGTTGGCAGAGAAAAAGTAATACCATGAGCGTCTTCTCTCTCCATGAACAGTGAAAATTTCTGATTATGGCCAAAATATAGCTATAACTATAGAGTACGTACCTCTATGTGGCTGTGGATGCAGATGAAATGGTGGTAAAGAACTGCTAGATGGATGAACGGAACTGTACTCATGGCTCTGTTCCTGTTGTATGCGACTAGGAACCTCCGGATGATTATGATGTTGACTCATCTGAAATATTATGGAAATCACTTAGTACAAACACAATCAAACTTTTAGACCTATTTGCATGGTCTAGCTAAGCAAATCAGCTATATAGCTATACACACGTATAAGCGCGGAACTACAATGACCATCATCTGCAATAACCAGTAATTCCATACCAATTCACAATTAAAGGAATAATGAAGGTAAACCAACCTCCATAAACTGCTTTGTCAGGGGCGTTGTGAAGAAAGCGTCGCGAGAAGTGAGAGATTCTGGGGGTGGCACATTTCGTAACGCGCATGCGCAAAGAACTGCGTGCAGCGAAACCACAGGGACGATTTCGTAGTAGCATATTTGCGCGGGCCCTCATAGTTGTGCACCACAGCATCTACGATACGTCACGCTCCCACGCATATATACGCAGGCGCGACTCTACCGGTATATACCCATTGGGCAATATACTTGCATAGTGTAATACCAGTAATTCTTAGCCCACAACAATATCATCGGATCGGTTGTAACTTTAGCAAGAATGAAACACAATGAAAGGGATTCGACGGCATTCACACGGCTTTCAGTAGAAGCTCTGCAGCTATAAGAATAGAACTTATGAATCTTCCATTTATATAGCTTTACACTCACAAGCTTTCATTGACAGTGGTATCTAAGGCAGTCTCATCGCTGGAAATTCGTGATCTCTTCTAAGAGTTCATAAGCTGTTCTTACCTGTTTGCCCGCTGGCTCATATGGCCAACCACGCGGCGCAAGGGATTATTTCCATGCCAGCTAGCTAGCTATAATTATCATACGCTTCAATCCACTCGCCCGCAATATTTCCGGTAAGCCCTTCTCAGCCTATAGTATAGCTATGCATTTTATAGTACAGGTTTCTACGCGCGGACGAGCAACTTTATGGCTGTTATTATATAGACGCAACCACTCCATAACGCGTGGCATCAGCCTCTGAAAGAATGGTCTTCGTATTTCTCATGCATGAAATCACTGCGCTAAAACAAGGCAACTTCGTAAAATTAAATGCTGCTGCCGCAATAGCTAGAATACCAATTTTATAATTACCTGCTTCTGTAGAACAGCTTAGCACTTCAGGGAACTTCACAGATGCGTCAATAGCGCAGATGAAAGTGAGTGCGTACTTTTGGGTGTATATAGCGAAATGCCAGGAGACCCACGCAAATTTTAGTAGTAACTAAGGGCCATTGCGGAAATTCCTGAGTTGAACGAGCCCACACACGAAACATGGCAGGTGACTAACTGCATTCCTCTTTGTTGGACGGATTCTCTTCATCTGCTGTGCAACATTGTCCATATCGAAGAATATTATGCTTTTCGTTTGCTATGATGGAATCACATACTGTAGCTCTAAAGCCGTATTTTATCGCGGCCGTGGCCAGAATAAGCATCGACACACACACGCACAATCTTTCCTCCGCATGCAAGCAGGGGCGAGCGGGTGACCATAGCACAGGCAGATTGTACCTTCGGCGCGCATGCGCAGCGAGGGTTACGGTACTTGGTCGGTGCGTAAGTGTGTCTGTGTGTCCGTTCCAGTTTTCTGCCACTAGGCGCAACAATATCGTCAAAAGTCTACACCAACGGGTTCGGCGCTACATTTGCTTGATTTTTAAATCTGGCGATTTTCGTATAAACACTGCGTTCAAAGTTATGGCAAGTCAAGCCAATATGCTAATTAGCACAGGCTTACCTCAACCGGGTGCGCTCGCTCTGTGTATCTTGAAGGCACAAGATACAATGATCACAACGAAGGGCGTGTATCGAATTTCGCATACTATCTAGTACTGTAGCTAGTCCGTGTCATACGAGCTACGAGCGGGAGACCACGAGTAAACGCATACTAATAGCCCAGCTCAATCAATTACTAGCGGTACCGCGCATGAGTAGTTCGCCGAGGGTTTGCACTTTAATTATGTGTGGCAGTGGGGCCGGGCATTGGCACTGCACACATAGCCACCGTTTTCCTTCCCACTGACATTAACGAGCTTGCAAAAACAAGGCCTATTGAAAAATATCCAAGCAATACCTTGGCAACGACGGACCAGATTCAGGCGAATCGTTACTAGTGTTAAATTTCAGTGTTAAAACTAGCAAGTATAAAGCTACACACATTGGCATTGTTTTTCACTAGCATACTATCAGTCTTTTTAATTAAGAAGCCCTTTTCTATACAGAACCTCCACTGACAATTGCATATTCGTAGTCATCTCCCTCAGTATAAGCTCCGTAGGAAATGTTTTCCTTCACACTAACATCATTAAAACTCTCGGCTTCGTTCTGTAGCACTCCGTATGCAACGTTATCCATTGCCCCTACTGACGGGTTTTCATTGTTAGGTGTGGCTCCATTTGCTCCGGTTAAACCTAAAACTCTTGGAGGCAGAGGTAGTGGGCGGTTATTGGACTCATGAGTTCTGGTGAATTGACCACTTTGGGAGTGGTAGGCCTCATTTGCAGCTGTGATCAAGGGAAAGCTCCGTGTACGACGTCTCACACAGAGAATCACGGTAATGGTAATGACAGTTAGAGTTAGCAGCAATGCTATTGTTGTACTCAGACCCACAGCAATAGCCAACTCTTCAACACTCACTTCAGTTGGCTGGGATGGAATGGACATTGCGTGGAGGGTCAGTTTGCATTACACAAGAAAGACAATTAATCAGCATGTGTACATACATTTCTTATTAGAACTCTTGGAACCAACATCAGCTATAGCAGTGAATAATTAACTGAAGTAATTCCCAAGTGATATCAGTTTACCAATGCTTGTCATGGCGTGTATGATATACAGAGAGTTGGGACTTGTGTAATTGCATTCTACAAGAGTAATTCATGTGAAATAGGCATTTCTCGTCGCAGGTGGAAGAGGTAAAGTTAGGGTGTCTGTGAGTTCAGAGAGACACCAGTTTAAATGTATGTTTTTGATGACAATGGAGTTGTGCTCACGACATTGATGTGGTTGCATGGTCGGCTAGTGCTATGGCTAAGTGCAGAATTTTACACTAGAACATAAAGTCATTGTACACCTTTGGGTGATAGGATAAATCCTACTCCCCATACGAGTAAGCATGCTTCATGTGAAAGATAATATTACTGGTACAAATTTAACAGTTGGTGTCAACTTACCAGTACTGAAGTAGCAACACTTGGACTCGTTGCTGCATCAATTGATAAACAAGGGCTATTTATGATTCACAAACATCGAGAAATGAAAAAAAACTCACCAATCACAGCAGATACTAGAGGACGGTAAGGTTCCACCATAATAATATTACTTTCAACATTAATAATGTCCACAGAAGATTCTTCAGAGTCTCCAGAAGGCATGTAGTAGTTAGTTGGACTACTCGTTGTCTCAGACAAAGGAATCAGTCTCGAACTGTTCGGGGTAAATATACCGACTACATCTCCTGCCAGGATGGGAAGTGGTTGGAAGTCACTAAACACATAGACATAGGTTGTCGTTCTAGTTGGCAACTCAGCAACAGTTCCATGTATCTTCTGGTACGTGTTATTCCAACGTTCCTCCAGACTTGGAACTCAGGGAAGAGACTGTTATTTCTGTTCCAATATGCTCCTATGATCCAACTGGTAATGACACCGTCACATGTGAACCTCATGTCAGGAGTGATCTGCTGACGACCCTCTATAGGCTCCGTCTCAGCAACACTGTCAATGTCCAGTAGCAATCTCATCCTCTCCACACTCACAAAACCATACCCACAATATGGAGGATCTATATATAGAGTCAAAATTCTCTCATAATCACTACACGATCATGAGATTGTACAAAAGTGTTGCACCTTTGTTAATACAGAAAAAGAACATAAATGAAACTGCAGTCGGCAATTATTGATTAAATGTTGCTGATTAGGCAAGTTTATCTATTAGCTAGCTAGCTACTCATTTCCTTACCTGTTTCTACATTTATGAGCATTTGATAGGTACGATAAACAGATCCCTCCCTGGTGTCAAGTACAGAAGGTGAACTTGGTAGGTTTTTATAATAGTATCCCAGTTGAAATTGGCCTCGTTCGTCACCCTCATAGATGAGTCTCAACTGACTGTTTTCAGATGGTGGCTGATAGTATCCTAGAACATCCCCTGCCCGGAAGTCCAGGGGAGTGGAGAGAGGATAGTGGTAGAGTTGTGTCCGAGTTTCTGGTGTTATTATTGTAGTGCTCCCAACTTTAGTGTAGACTCCATCTTCACCGACTGGTCTCCAGATCTGTAGCTCAGTGAATGACTGGGAGTTCCCCTCCCACTCTGCTCCAAACACCCAGGACACCAGCCTCCCGCTGCACGTGAAACCAACTTCTGGGAATATTCCTTGGAAGTCGTCATCTTTGAACGTATCGCCAAAGTTTCGAAGCAAAGCGTCCATTCTGTCGACACTCATGAATCCGCTTGTGCACTCATTCTCGTTTCCATCGCCTGCGAAGGTAGTTAGGTATCAGTGGACATCTTTATCAATAGCTAGACAGCTCCTTTACCTTGCGTAATGGAGAGGCTTGCGAACAAAATTAGGCAGCGCAAAACTGAGCAGTGCACGCATCTTGTTGTGGGACCGGCAGCCGTTCAGTAACAAGATTCGCTGGAGCGCACATCAAGGCAGCGACAGTGCTTGCGTAATACTATACATTCCAGAACACTGTTATCTATTGTGCGTATAGATAGGATGCATGACCCAATAGCTAGGTAAGAAGTGAATATTGGCTTGATCACTTTTTTACGTCAGATCACGCCAATTACAAATTAACAGACGTGGGACTAAACCCGCTGGTTGTTACCGTTGTGCGTGGTGGCCGTAACCCTTGCTGCGCATGCGCGCCGAGGTTACACCCGCTCGCGCAGTAAAACTGATTTGCGGTGCTCTTTCTCTCGTACCATCATCTGGACTTCACTTACTACTATTTACATTGCCCCAGCTTTCCTAGTTTGAAAAAAATGTATATGCGGTGCGGTGCCCTCGGCGCGCATGCGCAGCGAGGGTTACTCTGTCTGTCGACGCTTATTCTGGGACTACAGGCTATGCCACGACCTATGAGCGATACCAACGGCTTCATAACTACGGACAAAAAGGCGTATTTTCCTGAAATGCCGAGAGACATGCCGTGAAAACATTGCGACCTGATCCGTCGCTCTATGTTCATCGGAGGCTCATGAAGTCACAACTAATGGTGTGTATCGACTCCCGCATGCTATCTACTAGTGTAGCTAGCCCGTTTCAGACTCTCCGTGAGCTACTATATAGCGTGGAA